CTAGCAAAGGCAGGTGCTGCTGCAGCATCAGGCTAGTGTTGACGCACAGGTTCATCTTGCCTGTGTGCCACTGTCACACAAGGGGCTGGGCACAGACCTCTGTGTTCAAGCTGTACGTGGGGGACGATGAATAATGAATGAGAGGTGAGCTATGCCCCACAGATCCAGGTCCTACTTTCCAGAACTCAGGAGTGTCACCCCATGGGAGCTTTCTGCAGTTATTAAGGATTTTTTTAGATGAACGCAGTGTACTAATAATGCAGGTGGACCTTAAAAGCCCTCGTGGGGACCTTTAGAAAGACAGAGGAAGATTCCACCCTGAAGAGGACGACAAGGCCACGAGATCAAGGCCGTGGAGGCAGAGACTGGAGGGACATGGCCACTAGCCAGGAATGCCTGAAGGTCCCCCAGCCTTCAGGAGCCCGGCCAGGTCCACACCTTGATTCCAGACTTTTGACTCCAGAGATGTGGGGCTGAATATTTGGAGCACCCAGTTTGTGGCGGTTTGTTGTCGTGGCCACAGGAAACATGCACAAAGCATAAGGCTGGCTCCAAGGACGCTGGCGGCGCAGTGAAGTGGAGCCTCCAGCCTCACAGCTGCAGGGAGGCAGGCACCCGCCCGGGAAAGCTCCCAGCCCCCGCGCCCAGCACACGGCAAGGGGCCCTTGGAGACTCGGGAGGCTGGGCAGCAGAGGTGGTGCCCTGGCCACCTGCCTGCTCTGTACCTCCAGGCCCTCCTCCTGTCCCCACTATGTCACCCTCTTCCTGTCACCTTCCCCACACTTCCCTACAGCTCAGCTCCAGAGGCTCCTCCCTCAGTAGCCATCCCTGGGGTTCCCCTCCCTCCCCCATAGCACTGTCCTTTTCCAGGTCATTCCTACCAAGGCTGGATCTGCTGTCCCTTATCCCCAGCCCCAGGTGCCTCTAGCCAGGCCTCCCATCCCTCTCAACAGCCAGCTGGAGCGGCCCAGAGGTTCGTTCTTGTGGGGCACAGCTGGTGGCACCCCCAATTCCAGAAGCTGACACTGCAAGTGCATATCACCCAGCCTCCCCAGCCTCAGTTCTATCACACCGTCCTTGCAGCTGGAGGTTGCAGCCCAACTGGAACCTGCTCACTGTTCTGAGAGTCATTCTCCAGCACCCTGGCTCCTGGGGCAAGGCCAAGTGCCACCTGGAACAGGGCCAGGGCCGACCCTGAAGGTGACCCCAGCACTTCTGCCTCCCCTCTCCCACACCCCACTACTCCTGACTGGCTGTACCATTAGGGATTTTCACCATGTCACCTATTCCAGAAAGCCTTCCCAGATTCCAGTCCAGGTCAGAGTTCCCATCGAATACTCTGCCTGAAGTCCCCCTTCCCCTCCTTCTTGGTGCATGCCTGTGTGTGGTTATGCATTCATTTGGGGACTGTGATTCATAGACTTCTCCCCAGCCCACCTGGGCGAGGAACTCCATCCTTGTGACCAACTTCTAGTCCACATCCAGCAGAGCACTGGGCCTCTTGGATGGGTAGGGGGCCACGGGCTAGATAGGAAGCACCTCGGCCTCAAGCTACAGGAGCTCAAACCAACTCATCTGAGCACAGCTGATGGGGGTTGGTGAGCAGGCCCTGCACTCTGGAGGACTTCCCCTCGTTCCTGTCTGTAGGACAAAGCTGTCTAGTCAGCCCTGCAGCTCCCATACAGCACTGTGGGCAGGAACAAGGTGCTTGCCCTGTCTAACCAGGGGTGTGCGCCCTGCTCCCAGACACAGAATTCCCCTGGAGACGCCTCCAAACAGGCCTCAGCTCCTCCCTCAACAGCCAGCTGAAGCTGCCCTGATGTTGGATTGTCCTGTTGGCCACGGATGACCACACCCACAATTCAGGAGCCAACACCAAAGCCTCCCGTCCCCAGCATCAGCCCCATCACCCATCACGCAGAGTTTCTGAGCCACACCAAAGTTGCTGGGTGAACGGCCCTTCATGATGAGTTGGAAAGGGCAAGGAGGTCATCTGCAAAGGCAGCTGCCCAGTGGGTCATTCCCAGGCCCGTGATGCAGTTGAGCACTAAACGCAGGTACAGTTCACTCACTTGCAAGGCAGGTGCTACTGTCGTCCTGTGACAAGTGAGGGAACTGGGGACTCTGTAAGCACCTGGTGGGGAGGGGCAGCCCTGTGCGTGTGGGTCAGGACTCAGAGGGACACTGCAGTCAGTTGTGACCCTGCATTCTGGGGGCAGTCCCTGCTGCTCAGCCAGGGGCTGGGACTGTAGGGGGGTCCCCCCTGGGTTCCCCCTCAGCTGAACCTCCAGTCACCAGTCAAGGTGGGCAAAGGGTCTCCCCCCTCCCCTCCACCCCGACAATGGGACTGTGTCCCTGAAAGCAAGCAGATCTCCGTGTGCCTGCTGTGATTGCTTCAGACAAGTACAGCAGTGGCTCCTCCAACCTTGAGGATTGCTATCCCCACCATGGCTGTTCTCAGGCATTTGCAGGCCCAGCATGGGCCAGTGAGCCAGTCCGGGAAGACAACTTTCTTGAGCAGGCCTCTCCACTTGAGCCCAGGCTCCAGGTAGCCTCCTTCCACAGGTGTCCATAAGTGCTAACCAGAATCTTAACCAGCCTCTGCTTAGAGAAATGCAGCTTCCAGTGGGGTGAATGAGGTCCCCAGATTCCCTTCCAAAGAGCAGGCTGGAGGGCTATCCCAAGCAGCACTGTCAACACCCTCAAGCAAACCTGCACAGCCCAGCCTGAGTGGAGGCCCCAGGTGCCTGCTCAGAGCCTGGGAACTGCCTGGCTTGCTGGGGCCTTGCTCTTGGTCCTTAGGCTTTAGAGAAGAAACCCAAAACACCAGTCAGGCAAGTACCACTGTGTACCTCAGTGCTGAAAGGGTCCAACACTCCACAAGCCCCAGAAAACCAGGACTGCTGGGTGCAGGCTGGTCTAGGCACAGCCCCAGGATAAGGGCCTGTTTGTACGGCCAGACAAACCAGTTGGGTGAGATTTTTCCTCTGCTTCCGGATAAACAGGGCCAGCCTGGAACCTACAAGCCTGCCTTCTCAAAGGTGCAGGCACCACTCTGGGCCTCCCAGAGCCACCAGTCCCACCATGCAGGAGGTAGTGCCTGTACCTATAAACTGAGTGTCCACAGCCACCATGACCAGAACTGAAGGTAGTGCTTTGAGGTCTGAGCTGGTCTCCACACCTTGTCAGAGGTCACTTTATGTCCAGGAATGGAGAGGAGCCCATATCTGCACCAACTTCTAGCAAGACCAGAACACTGACAAGATTCAAGCAGGACTGGGCAGGAAAGAGGGCCAGGGGTCTGTGGAGGCAGAGCAAGTGGAAAGTCCTCTAGGCCAGGAGGACCTGGCTGCAGCTGGGTTCCCCCAAGTCAGGTCACAGCAGGAATACCCAGACAAATGAGTAATCTGATTTTCCTCTTAGCCTCTCTCCTCCAGAGCCTGCTGCCCTCCCCACAGGGTGCCCTGACTTAAGACCATCAAAGGCAGTCCACTGCCCCCACACCCACACCCAACTTGCTCATTTGGTGCATAAAAGCCCTTGAACTGAGGGGAAATGGGCCCAGTTCTGGAGAGCAGAAGAGGTTTGTGCCTGAACCCCTGGGAGCAAGGCAGAGGCATCTAGTGACCAGCAGGGAGGGAAGAGGCTGCTGGGTGACAGGGCAGCCTTGGGAGTGCCCAGATGCCAGTCCCTCATCACCACTTTCTCTCCTGAGACTCTCATGCTACAGTAGTCTGTGCCCCAGAGAGGGCCCAAACCCCTTCCCCAACCAAACATCAACCAGCTCTGCTGAGGCCCGAGAGGCTGTCACCCAGGACAGTGTGACGTCAGGCAGGTGGGGTGAGCAGGTGTCCTGGCAGTCAAGTCCCTGAAGGTTACCAAGACCAAGGCAGTGGCCCAGCTGGGAGCAGATGTGTTGCTCTTGTCCCCTGAGCCTTGGCTTGGTGCCCATGGGGATGCACATGAGGCTGAAAATCCAGGAAGAGAAGCACAGAGGGCCCCAGGATGCCTCTCCAGGGGACCCCCACGCTGCCTGGGACCAGCCAGAGGAGGAGGGGAGCCCAGCATTATGAGGCCAGGCCTCCCTGACAATCACCACCACGCAAGAGCTGATGTGAGTGTGCCCAGAGGAAAGCACAGGGCAGGCCCCAGTCCTTATCATGTTTTCTCATGCCCCACTTGGTGATGCAGACTTGCAGTGGAGATGCCCCCATCCCTGTGGGGTGAAGTGTCCAAACCCCACAGGGTGATGCCTCTAACCCATGTGGGGTTATTCCCCCGACTCCACAAACTGACGCCGCCAACCCCAGGGCGGGTGACACCTACAACTATGTGAGGTGAACCCCTCACCCCACATAGTGAAGACTGGCTGTTGACAAGAGCTCTCCTGGGGGAATGTGAGACACAGTCCTCAGAAATAGGCTCCAGAGCACAGGAGGAACAGGGGTGGGGCTGAGGAGGACCAGGTCTTCAGCCGGTCTGGGGAGCCAAGGTGTGGGGTCCCCATGGAGGCAGGAAGCTCATCTGGTCCTCCCTCCTTTCTGCCAGTCACATCTGGGACTGCACACCCATGAGCAGGGACCAGTAGTTCCAACTCCAGTGTTTGGGAAGAGTGAAGGAGGGTCTTTCAGAGCAAGCAACAGAAAACAAAGCCCACCAGCCTGGACTCTCCCCAACCTGGGATCAAAGGGCATACAAGGAACTCTTCGATTGGGCTGCCTTTGGGAAATGGCTGCAGTGCTCAAGCTAGCCTTGAACCAGCGGTTGACAACTGGTCTCTTTTAAAGCACTCTTTTAAACTGAGGCACTCCGGAGACAAGACCAGAGAAGACAACCGTTTTCAGGATGGTCCCTTTCTAGCAGCCGGAGCCCAGCATGCAGGAGGCAGGGGCACACCCAGTTCTCAGCTGCCCTCGCTCGGACCCTGGAGCTAGAGCATGGACGCAAGCTGAGGGTGGCTTGTCTCAGGGAAGGAAGCCACCCAGAGGACACATACTCACCTGGTCACAGAACCAAAGTTACGTTTCAAACTGGGTCAAGAGCTCTCTTATTTCTGGGGCCACGTGTCGTGTGGCATTTGCAGCCTCGGTTATAGCTTTCCGATACATCCCCTTCTTCTTACGGTTAAATCTCAGTTTGAAAAATTCAGAGAAAGGGGAGAGTTTTGAAATAGACAAGAATGATGTAGTTGGAGACCCAAACCACGAGACCTTCGCTTCTTGCCAAGAGGGCTCTCCGTCCTCCTTCTGGCCAAGACTGATGTCAAGGACACGTGCTGGCCACCAAGGAAAACCATGAATCTTACCCCATACGACGTCCCCTACGGCCACGGTCTTTCCGTCTTCGGTGACGCACTTAGAGACACTCTGCGTGTGCAGCCTGACCGTTAAGGGCGGGACAGTCTTGCGAGCATCCCGGGAAGAGGAAGGCGCAGAGGCACCTTCGCCGGACGAGAGGTCACCTGTGTCTGGAGATGTCACTTCCGAGCTAGACGACTTCGATTCGTCCAGGCTGTCACTACTGCAAATGGGCTCACTGGTGCAAACAGCTCTCCTCTCAGGGCAGTTGACAAGAAAAGCCAAGCCATCGCGCCCTTGTTTACCTTGGGGACACCTCTTGAAGTCATCGTCCTCACCAGAACTTCCAGAAGATAAATCCTCCAGCCTGTGGGCAGAGCCATCTACAGAGAGGGCAGGCAAGCTGGCTCGGGGACCCCGCCGGCAGCCGTTCAGCTCATCCACCAGCTCGGCTCGGTACAAGGGCTCATGCTCGCCGTCCCCCAGGCGATGGGGCTTCAGGCGGATCTTGGGAGGCGGCAGGTCCGAACTGGGAGGCATGGGACGGGTCAGCTTTAGCTTGGGAATGGAGCTCAAGGGCCCGCTGGGAGGCCAGTCCCCACTGCCCCTGGGCTCAGTGTCCCGTGGTGCTTCAGGGTCCTGGCTGCCATTGTGCAGAGCCTGCTGGGGGCAGAAGGGCTCCAGGGAGCCATGCACACGAGATGGAATTTTGACCACCTCGCCTTTGCCCTGGGGTGTGCTGTAGGAGATCTTGATGACCGGGCTCCGAGGGACCTGCTCACCAGGAGCCCTGTCCTCCTCTCGCCTCTCCCTCTTGCTTCTTCTGGAGGTGGCCACAGCTGTGGGGTCAATGTCCTCTGACTCCTCGGGTTTTCGATGCTCCCTGTCCGGGCCACTGCCCAGTCTCCTGCGGGCCCGAGGGGCGGCTGGGGGGCCAGGGCTGACCTCCTGGGGACTCACGGTGCTCTTGCATTTCTCACACAGTACTTGGCGTGGCCGTAGGCGGATGGTGCTCAGAATGAGCCGGCCAGGGTCGCGGTTGCGGGACAGACGCCTCCGGGTCCGCTTGATGGTCCTGGGCGGTGGTTGTGGTACCCACTGCTGGTAGGTATTCCTCAGCCAGAGCGGGTGGGGAAATGGGGCACCTTCAAAGTATGGTGGGTAGGGGGGCAGGGTCCCAGCAGGGAGCAGGGGTACAAGGGGTTGGGGGGGCTCGGGGGCAGCCGCCTTGAGGAGCTGGTCCTCTTTGAGGGGCTGGTCCCTGCAGGGAGGATTCAGGAAGCCAGACTGTGGCAGCCTTGCTTTTCCATCCCCGTCCTCATGGCAGCTGATGGCAGGGGAGTCATCAGCCAGGGGCAGTGGAGTTGATGGAGACAACCCAAAGAGGCCGGACCTGGCAAGGGGAAACAGAAACAATGAGGACGGTGAGGAACACAGCTGTACCCAGCCCCGGCTGCCCAGCCCATCTCCAGCAGGCTTAGGAGGCTGCACACACCCCAAGTCCAGGGCGCACGTTCTATGTTAAGAGCATGGGTGGATTCACACAATCAGATCGATGACCTATGGCCTGGAGGCTGCATCTTAGCTACAGACTATCTGGATCTCACACCCTGGCCACAGGGGAAGTAGGGCTCAAGGCTAGAATGCTGCCAGGAGGCCCAAGAACAACCTGGTCTAGGGGGGAGAGGGTCTAGCTGCTGTGTGGCCAGTGGCCACACAACCCACGCCTCTGCTCATGGACCTCAATTCTTCCCTCCCCCCTGTCCAGGGAAAGTCGGAGACTCAGGGAAGACTCCCAGGCAAGCCTCTGGACCTCCAAGCATGTCCCTTGGAGCATCTGGGTCCCTGGTGCCTGTCATGTGTCTGTGCATGCAGGGTGGGGGTCATCTGGGAGAGCTGCAGCCCAGAAAGGACAGAGGTGCCAAATCAGAGGCCCCATGGCTCAGAGATCTCCCAAAGCCCAGAGTTCTCCAGTTGACTCCATCTACTTCAGTGGTTCTCTGGAAGGTCAGCCAGCCTCCCTGCTCCCCATGGCCTAGAAGAACTTCACTGCCAGTCTTCTAACCCTGACCCTTTCTCTCAGTACCCATCATGGGGCTGTGGGGCCAGATAGTCACCCCAAAGACTGGCTGCCTGTCTGTGCTGCCACTGGGCAGAGGCCTTGCTCAGGGTAAGGACAGGGCTGAGGGCTGGGGTGAAGCTATCTGGACAGCAGAGGAAATAGCAGGTGGCTGGCCTGGGAGGCAGGACCTGGGGGCCTGGGGCCAAGAGTCAGTCCCACAGCCCACCTTTTGCCAGCGTTCACAGCTACTCAAGCCTTAAAGTAGAGGCTTCCAACAGCCCTTCCTCCCCATCTGCATCCTCTTCTGTCATCCCTCCAGCACCTTGGGCACCACCTCCCATCTGCCCCAGTACCTCAGCCTGGACCCTGAGCTGACCCATTTGTGCTGGCACAGAACCCTTCCTGTCAACTAGACCCTGGAAAGCCCTCTGCCGGTCATCTTCCCAAGTCCCAACCCATCTCTTGGGACTGGGGCTCTGTCTTCCCTCTCCGTAGACCCTGGACATGCCCATCCCCAGGATTCTGCAGCTTCTTCACACCCTCTCCACACTCTCTCCACACAGCAAGCTGGGCAAGGGGAATGGGCCCTGACTCTGCAGTGCTCCAGGGGTCTGCCCATTCATGGCACAAGTGCCTCAGGTGGACTTTGCAAATTTAGGATGGATCCATAGCCCTCGCTTGGCTGGAGACCCAAGCCCTAACCTGGGCTAGAGCCCTCTCTCACCAGGCATAGGCTGGTCCCTTCCCAGGCACACCAAACTGTGAAGCAGCCTAGGCTGCCCACTGTCCATGCACCTTATGGCCCTGAGTCACACCACTAGAGCCCAGGGACCAGAGAAAACAACCTGCAGAAACAACTGTTGACCCTGGCAGTAGGCAGCCATTCTTCCTTCCTGGAGCTGCCTGGGCCACACCTAAGACCCGCCTGGTGGGTAAACAGCAGACAGGCTCACTCCTGGCTGGGGCAGCCCTGGGGCCTTGGCAAAGCTTGAAGCAGGTGGCCACTATGGGAGATCAATTCTCTCAACCCTTCAGTAGCCCCATGGGATGCCCAGCACTGAGAGTCCTATTTTACAGAGGGATAGTGAGGCTGAGTGGGACCAGGGAACCTGTCCCAGTTGAGCAGTCCAGACGCTGGGATCTACTGCCTCCAGATATAGGGGACAGTCTTAGTATGGGCTGCTCTCCCCAGGACGACCTTCTGAACCTTGTGCTGGGTGTGGGGCACAAGGTGTGTGAACCTTCCAGAGTACTGAAGCCTGCATCAGTACCCTCAGGCCTGGCACCCTTAGCATCAGCCAGCCCCATGGACAGAGGCCCCATGGCCTGGTAGGCCCACAGGTGACACTGAGAAGACTAGATGGTCCTGGAGCCAGAACAAACCTGCCAGCGCCCATACAGAACTGAGAGGGCCTATGGAGTGGTGTGGGTGCAACATTTGGAGGCTAACCTTGGGTGGAGGCCAGGCATGTGAGGAGGGGTCCTCCTGGACGCTGGGGGTGACTCACCAAGGTGAAAGGTCAGGCTAGGCTGGACAACACCTATGCAGAAAACTGAAGGGACCCAGAAGCAAAACTCAACAGAGCTTTGGGGTGGGGCAAAGAACCTCAACTTTGAAGTTGAGGCAGGAATGAGAAGTCTGGGAAGCTCTAATGTGGTGCCAGTTCCAAAAGCAAAAGTAACACCTCTCCTAAGGGGACAGAGAGCGCTCCCAGGGACACCAAGGCTCAAGGACACTGAGGCCTGAGGACAAATGGCCTGGCTCAAGGTACTCAGCAGGACACCAGTGGCCATGCCACATCCCTAGGGGTCTCTCTCAGCCAACCACCCAGGGCAGCTAGGGCCAGGGCTGGCCCACGGGCAGGAAGAACACAGCCCTGGTCACTAGCCAGAGCTCTGTCCTGCCCCTGCCTGTAGCCGCCACTATCTGGCTTCTCCATCAGCAGGCAGACCCAGGACCTGCAGGGCTTCAGGAGCCCCAAAGGCAGCTTCCCCGTCCCATGGCTGCCCTGGACCTTCCTTCCCCAGCCTCTGATGGAGGCGGCCATACTGCTGCTGCCTGAGGGGTTGAGTCAACATGATCCTGGATCACAAACACGGGGATGTGCAAAGCTGGGCAGGCGCCCGTGGAAACTTCTCCATGCAGCCGAGTTGCCAGGAATGAGAAGCCCCAGGACTGCCTTCAATCCAAACACCTAAGGCCCCACCTTGGGCTGTTCATCCCCCACCCCTCCCCGGGGTTGGTTTAGAAAGTACCTGCAGGAAACAGGGTGGCTGCCCAAACCTGCTGGGCTAAAAGGCCTCCTGGGTCCACCTCTGCTCAGGCAGGTTGGCAGCATAAGCCACTGCCTCAACACCAGAACAGCCCCTTTTACCAGGGGTACACAATGGGACCTGCTGCACACTTATGGGCAATACCCCAGGATCTCCAGAGAACAGTTGGGGGCCCCCAGCATGCTGGGCTCAACGGTTTACTAACATTAGCATCCATCGTCCATCCTAAGCCTTTGGGCTCCTCTAGCAGCACAGGCCAGGTCCATTCTACCCACCCAACACCCCTGTCCACTCACTCATCTGACATTTCCCCAAAGAAGCTCCCAAAACCAGCACATCAGCCAGGGCCCCTATATACCAGCCTAAGATGCATGGAGCACCCAGTGCTCTTCTGCAAGGGACAGGCAGTGGCTGGGGTCCTGGTCAGAGGCTGGCACCCTGATCTTCCCAGCAGATGGTCCAGGTTGCTGTGCTGATGTGCTGTGGACAACTCACAACTGGGCAAATTTGAGAAACATGAGCTTAGAGGTCAAAGCTGGGGTTGGGAGGCCTGCCGGTGAGGCCAGCCCTTCACCACCCTGAGTCTCTGCAGTCCTCAGGTCACCCTTTAGCCAGGACCACCTTATCTGATTTGCTCAAGCAGACAAAACAATGTCTACCCTGCCCACTCCTTCGTGCATGGGGTCAGCAAAGCTTTGGAAGGAATCTGAATTTGCCCTTAAGTGGGGATTGTTGGAGGCTCAGCCTCCTCCCTGGCAGGAAGTAATTGCTCAGTCACGTACCCGAATGCATGGACAGATAGGCACCCAGAGCAACAGGGCTTGCTTCAGACCACACAGCAGCAGGGAGGAGGTGCACAGGACTGCACCAGGCAGCTGCGCTGTGAGACCTGGGCCCAGCCCTCCTGGAGCTCCCCTCTCCTCTGCAAACAGGGAAGAGAACCAAGCAAAAGAACGCCATCCGTCAAAGTGCCCCACAGTAAATACCAGTGGCTGGATCCTGCCTCAGCTCTCTTGTCCAGGAGCCTGTGTGTGTGGGGCCTACCCGAGTGCCAGTTCCAATCCAGCAAGGAGGACCCACGGTGATCAAGCACCACATGTACATCCAGGTCATCAGGACTGCATTTGACTCAGGGAACTGCCTGACCCTACAAACACTGATGGCACCCCAGCAATGCTGACCTGCCTTGAACACAGCCTGCTAGACACCAGCATCCAAGTGCTCCCCTGAGGTCAGAGGCCACAGGTCATGGGAGCTCCCAGCAGCTCTTCCCTGTCAGTCAGTACCCATGTCTGGGGACTGGGCCTCATTTTGGAACAAGGGAAGGCACTGAGCCCTAAGGAGAAACGGGCAACCAGGGAGGGCAAGCTGGCATGTGGACCTGCAGCCTGTAACACCCAGGCCAGGCCACGAGCTGCACTGGGATCTTGCCTGACAAGCAGGCTGTAAACATTAGCTCCCAGACTCACAATATTTCGGGTAAAGAACTAGAAACAGAAACCAGGGTGACAGTCCAGGAAGACCAGGGTAGGCAGAAGCAGGGGCAGTTTCAGGCCAAGCGTTGGAGGGTGGGAGGGGCAGGAGAGGCCAGGTTCGTTTTCAGGTTCCCTACAAGGGCACCCGGCATTCAAAGTCAGAAAGACCTGCAGTAGCGTAGAGCTGTGCCCACCGCCCAGCTCCTGGCTCTGGTTACATACAGCTGAATGTGACCTCGGCAGTACTGACGCCCACACACCCTACAGCTGCCAGTTCCCATGCCCGGGATCCTAGCAATCTGCTTCTTTCCACAAAGGGGGTGAGGTGGTGCAAACCAGGCCAGCCACGGGCCTCAGGGAGGAGAGCCCACTTCCCTTGCAGACATCTCCAGCCACAAGCCGGGGCTTCCTCAGCCTCTCTCACCCTGTCAGGAAGCCAAGGAAATGGGACTGTGTGTGGGGGAGGGAGGGGACTCTGCTACAAACAGCACTCTCCAGGGAGGAAAGACGGGAGGGAGCAGGCTGCTCAGGTAGAGCAAGGTGCAGCCCTGAAGAACCAGCGCCAAACCTGGCCGGCCTAGGGAGGACTCAGTGGCCATCAGTGGAGTGGGGATCACAGCCATCCCTGTCTCTGGCTGGCTGGCAGCTCCCATGTGGCTGTTCTGCAGCCCCTGAGTGTCACTCCATGCAATAGGCACTCCCCGTGGTGGCCAACATGGAGCAGATCAGGGCAACAGCCACACCGGAGGCCATATGTTAAGTCACATGACTTGTGCATAAATGGCTCCTGGCATACCTAATGAAGACATAATGTAAGCAGGATAACTGTCAAAGGAGGACGGGCCCTGCACTCTTCACACTGCCGGGGCGGGGGGCGGTGGGGGGGGGCGGGAATCTAGGCTTCAGGAAGAGAAAAAGTTGGGCCTTTTTTGAAAGCAGAACATTCGATGCTTCCAGTTCCAAAATAAAGCCCAGCAGACGGAGGAACGCCTCAGCTGATTAATGCCTAATCATTTATCTGGCAGTGACAGCTCACTACCACGTGACATCGTATCCAGGAGGCTGCTCGGTGCGGCAGGAGTCCCTGCAGGGGGTGCACAGGTGGTCTCAGGACGGGTTTGCCCAGCCAGACACGCCCCTCCATCAGGGGCACCGGGCCGTAACTTGTATCTTCCACTCCTCCGCTCGGCTCCTGAACCCGCAGCCGCGTTTCTACGCCCCGTAGCGGGTGGGTGTGCAGCTGCTCTCCGCCAGCCACTCCTACAAGCCTCGGGGACGACAGACACACGGCTCCCCTACTTGTAAGTGACAGGGCAAGGCCACTGCGCAACCGACCGCCCCATGAACGGACCGCAGTTCTGCAAACAGCCCGATCCAACAGTGCGTCTGAACAAAGAAAAAGTGCGCAAATTACGGCCGATGTGCGGAGTTCGGGGCTCGGCTTCCCGCGCGCTCCGGCGCGGCGCCCGCAGCCCCCTGCGCCCGGCCGCGCGTTCTCCCGCCCCGAAAGTCGCGGCGACTTTGGGAGAGAGCCACTTTCACCCCACGCAAGCGGCGGACGGCCCCTGCGCCCCGAAACCCCAGCCTGGCGGAAACTGAAAGCGGGCGCTGGGCCCCGCCGCTCCGCCCCGAGTCGGTGCCCGATCCCCGGGCCAGCGGGGGAGTGTCCCCGAGGGAGGACTCCGTGGTGTCCCGGGCCCGCACCCCCGCCACGCTCACTTTTTCGTGCAGTCCAGCAGGATCCCGGCGAAGCTGCGCTCGCCGCAGCTCACGGTGACCACCAGCGCGCCGTTGACGACCTGCTCCACCCGCACGGGCAGCCGGCAGCCGGCCCGCGGCTCCATGCTCCCGCCGCGTCCCGAGGCCGCCCCCGCCCGCCGCCCGCCGCCCGCCGCCCGCCGCCGCCGCCGCCGCCGCCGCCGGGTCAGCCCCGCGTGACGCCGCCTGACGTCACAAAGCTCGCTCGGCCAGACGCCACCGCCGAGCCGGGCCGGGCCGGGGCGCGCGGCCGCGGGCTCCGCTCCCGGGCGCAGGAGGCCGTGGGGCCGTCGGCCCGCCGCGTGTCCCCGCCTCCCGGGCCTGCTCGAAGAACTGTTCCGAGCGCGCTTTGTGGAACCCCCCACCGGACGGGGACGGGGGTGTCATTAATCTCGCCGCCACGCTGGCCAGGGGCGGCCCCGGGCCCAGGAGGCCCGAGCGCCAGGAGCCGAGGGGGTGGCGGGGACACTCCCTGGCCCTTGCCCGGGGCCCCTCCCCCAGTCGCTGTTCCAGGTCCTCCCCGGGGCTCCTCCTCCTTCCCGATTCTGTCCCGGGGCCACTCCCTCCCCTCGGCGAGGCTTGGGGCCCCTCGCTTCCCCTGCACCCCGGGTCCCTCTGCTTTGGGGTCTGCGCCCGAGCACAGGCGCAGCGCCCCCGCGCACCGCTCCGGTGGCCACCGGGCACTGCGGGGAGGAAGTTCCCGGCGGCTTGCGCAGGAAGCCAGGCGGAGGAGACGCCGGGGCGCGAGGGGCACTGGCAGGCGCCAGGCAGCGGCCTAGTGTCGCCCTAGAGGGGGTTGGGGAGGAAGCTCCCCCCGCCCCCACCCCCGGTGTGTTCGCCGCCAGCTTAGGCGACTATAGAGAGCTGAGCGGGGGGCGGCCCGCTATAGGGTTGGGAGGATAACTCCATCCAGAGGTCTCGGACAGCCCCTCGGGTCACCGGAGCTCAGAGGCTGGACGGCGCCTCCGCCAGTGTGCAGAGGAGAGAGCCGCCTTCCGCGAGCGAGCGCAGGGCTCCCCGGCAGGCTGGGGATGGGTGGGAGGTGGTGGTGCCCAGCACACTATGACCGCCACCCGGACCTCCTCCGGCTTCTGCAGGCACTCGCGCTTCGACACCTGGCTTGGAATCCCACCCTTCTCCCCCGCTAGGGACCCTTACCCCTAACCATAGCCCCAGGGGTCTAGGCCCCAAAATCCTGCTTGCCAGAGCCTTGATCCCGCACCAGAGGCGCCAGGAAGGGGGCAGCGGGGTTTTCCTGACCACATGCCTGCTGGGCCCTCGCTCCTCTGAGCCCGGAGTGAGGCCTGCTTTGGGGCCACCGCCCCTGGCGCCTCAGGGGACAGTCCTGGCCGTCGTGGCGCCTCTCGACCTCGCCCTCCGGCGGCCGTGGCGCAGGGAGCTGGTTAGAGAGCCCGAGGGCCTGGGGAGCTTCCCAGCGCCTGTCTTCTGCATGGCCTGGGGTTCCGAGAGAGGCCTGACCACCGCCCACCCGCTCTCCAGAGCTGGATGGGGCCGACCTTGGAGAGGAAATGCCAATAACGGGAACCCCTCCAGGCCCGGTCGCAAGTGGGGTAAGGGACTAGCTGGAGGCGGCCCACTCGCTTAGAACAGGTGCCAGCTGAACACATCCCCTCCCGCCCCTGCCTAGTGCCTGCTGGGGACAGACCACAGCGCCCGCGGGGCTGATTAGCTCCAAGGCTTGTCGGGACAGCACTGGGTGGGGGATGTCAGCGCACAGCGGGCTGTGAGTGGAGTGAGCAGGGGTCCTCCCAGAGGGGCCCCAGCCAGAAGAACTCTATTACAGGACAAGGGCTGATTGCCCTTTTGTGGTGAGGAAGGGGCTTTCACTCCCAGGTGTAAACAGGGAGGGCAGTTTGAGTGTAGCCACTGACTTTTCCTGGGGACTTGTTGGGTTCTGGGTAGGTGCAGGTGTGGAAGTCAGATAGGACACCCAGGACCTGGGGGCGGGCGGGTCTGACAGCTGACAGATCTGGGGCTGCCTGAGCTTGTTTCTGCTGTGTGGGTCTGATTGGTGCTGTGTATTTTTCACTGGGCTTGGAAGCCATTTTTAAAAACCTGCTCTCCACCACGTAGAATATTTAGAAAGACAGGCAGTGGACAGGGAGATCAATTTGCAATTTAAATATATAGTGGCCTTTCAGAGCCTGTCACTGCATCCCAGCCCCGCCCACCTGCTCCCTATCCCCACCCTCCCCCCACCTAGTTTCTAGCTGGGTGTGGGAGTTTCCAGAGTCCCTGATTAAAATGCACATGGCCTCAAGCTGCCTCCAGGGCTGGGGAGTTCTGGGTACCTCACTGTCCACCCTTCATTTCTGACACCGTGCTGGGCAAGCCAGCCCCGTGTGCTCCCTGCTGGGAGCAGCCCTAAAGCCCCCTTCCTCCTGCCATGGTCCTGGGAAGGCCCTGTGCACAGCTCCTGCTGGGAGCTGCCCTGGGCTGTTGTCCTAGGCTAGACAGGTCCCTCCCTAAGTCTCTAGGCTTTGCCCTCAAGAGACTCGAGTCCCTAAAACCAGCCGCAGGGGCCCCCCTCTCAGAGGCCTAGGAAGTGCCTGCTCTTTGTGCAGCAGGGCTGGCCCCACAGGTCAGAGGCAGGGCCAAGTGAGGGCACAGAAGAGTGTCCAGAGTCCTCACTGGGGTTGAGTTTAGGTGACCAGGGTCGGCAGTTTGGGGGAGAGTGGCAGCTTTAGGTTTAAGCTGTGTAGGTGGGGGAGGGACTGACTTCCCTGTTCTCTCTGGACAGCAGGAGAGGAAGGCCAGCCACAGGCTGCCTCTTCCCGGGTCCTGGTCTCTGTGTAACAGGTACTTTGAAACTATCTTTCCTGAAAAACGCTGACTCCTTACTTGGGCCACAGTTAACTAAAAACAGGAGACAAGCTTGGCATCCCTGCCTCCATTTTTCTGTTTATCTTTGCTCTGAGCCATTCACCTTGCAGCCACCTTAGAATCCAGGAAAGACTGACTGATAACATGTTCACAAGGAAGGATGGAGGAAACTGCCCAAGGAAGGGAACAGCAGAGCCTCCACAGCACCGACCACCCGACCTGCTTATCCTGACTGGATTGGTTCCTTTCAGTGGTGACAGTGGTAACTTCTCTGGAACCCCTCCCGAAACCAGAACTGAGATAATGATCAACCAGGCCACACCTGTGCATACCTCTTGCCCTCTGCCCTAATTCTTTTCCTATTTAACCCAAAAGCTCATGTCTGTACCCCAAAGATGGACTGAAGTGCTTTCTTCCCACAGTATGCTGGTGCTGTGTAATAACCTTTGTTCTCTGCCCTTCACCACTGTTGGGATGAGAGGCCAGATCTGACAGGTAGAACCCCTAGAGTTTGGACCTAGGGTCTAAAACTCTGATTTCATCTGAGCTCCACAGCTGGCCACCAGCCCCATCCTATTCCCCCATCCCCCTTACCCCTTGACGTCTTGCAGGGTGGCTCACTCTCCTGCAGGTCCAGCTCAAATGGCCCTTCCTGAGACCCCTTGCCCCGGACTGGCCCGGCACTGCCCTTCTTGAGTTTTGCTGACCACCCTGTGGAGTTAGCTTTGGTCTCTCCCAGGAGATGGCCTTCCACAGAGGGCGCCCCGTGACTGTGAAGATGCTGCCAGGGCCACAGGCCTGTCCCAGGGTTGCCGACCAGGCAGCTAGTGACACAGTGACTTGGGCCTGCCTCTGCCTCCTCTTTCTGAGTTCACCCAGCCTGGCTGCCTGGGCCAGTCAAAGCAGGAACTTCTGCGATGGGATGGAAGAAGCCTGGTCAAGATGGAGGCCTTGCCAGCCACAGCCAAGGGTCAGAAACCACAGATTTCTTAGAGGCCAAAGAGGGGCAAGGCCGTGGCACTGGGGCCCAGCTGCCCTGTGGCTGGTCTCAATGCTGTGGCAGTTGTTTGGGAGGGCACAGGGCGAGGCCATTGAGAGTGAGGCCCTGGTTCATTAAAGCAGCCACATGGGTCAGAGTGGAGTGAGGTGCAAGAGCACTGGAGTTCCAACTTTTGTGAGGCCAGCCTGGCAAACAGTCCTGTGCATCCTGTGAGGCTGGGCTCAGGGGAGTCTTTGCAGCTTGAGAACTTGGACCTCCCCCAGGTCACAGAACCTTGGAAGGGAAGTCTGGGTCTGCATGACTGGTTTTGTTCTGTCTGACCAACTGGCAGGGTTTGTTCTGCAGCTCTCCCTGCTTCATGATAGGGCTTTCCCCGAAGGAAACATCACATAGGCCTGGCTGGAATGGAACCTGCCAGAACTACCCTGGTTATGGTGCAGAGAGCTGGCTAAAGCCTTGGACTCTGGGCCAGACTGCAGAGTCCTCTAGTGACCTTGAGGGATGCCTACCCTCTCTGTGCCTGCGTCCTCATCTAAAAATGGGGATAAGGTACACTCCATAACAACCCAGTGGGGACTTCCTAATCCTCCTGGAGGGGTGTGACTCAGCACCTCGCTTGCCCCACCTGTGATCCCAAGGGCTGCAGGGAGGCCTTGTTGGACCTTGCCAGGTGCTGACTGGACATGGAGGTGACTGCTGGGTCTCCGTCATCATTGTCATTAATAAGCCCCACTCCCACCCTCATTCTTCCACAACAGGCTGCTAGCTGAGGGGGAGTCACCATTTGCAGGGAGTTGGGCCTCAGAGAGCTCATGACCACAAGGGCTGCAGGTCGGCGGGGTGAGGGAAGGGCTTCAGGGCTGTAGCCCAGGGCCACCTGCTTGATCCCACCTGGAAGAAAGAGGCTGATGGTCTTGTGCTGGGGGCAGGCCCTCCTACTTGGCTCTGCTCTTCACGGGCCGCAGGCTCACCAGAGGCCCACAACAGCTCTTCTTAGCCCCCGGGAAGAAGCAGGTTTGCACCATCCAGTCTTGACCCCAGAAAAACCCTGCTCAATTCTGCACTGGCAGCATTAGGTCTGTGCAACAGGGGAACAACTAAGCACCTGGCCTCTGCCTAGCCATCAGAGGAGACACCTCCCGCAGACTGTAGGCCACCACGTAGACCTGGCCCCTGCTGACACAGCCGAGAGCCTGGTCCTGTGTGGCCATGCTCCTCCTGAGAGCACAGTATCCTTGGCAAGAGCACAGTTCTACTTGGGGTCTGCACCCTACCTGAAAGCCACCCTGGGATCACCTGGACTTCATCTCCAACCACATGCCCAGGGCCCCCCAGGACTCTTGTCCTAGTGCCCGTTTGGAGCCAAGCTATAGCTGCCCATGAAGCTTTGGGCTTGGCCTCCCATTCGGCACTCATTTTGGGTACAGGACTCTGAGGAACCAAGGTCCTGCGTGTAAGCCAACTTCCCTAGTCAAGGCAGGAGTGTGGACACTCACTGATGTTATCTGGAGACAGCGTCCTCAGGCTGCCCCTTGCCATGGCCTAGCATGATGGTCCCCAGGGGCAGCAGAGGGGCAGCTGCTTCTCTGAGTCCCTTGGTCCCTCCACCCTTGCCTCTGTGCCCATGGCACATGCTGCCTTGAGGCCCCCCCTGCAGGGCCTGGCAGCTGCAGCCAGCAAGTCCACCTTTGGCTGTTTCTGCCAGCCACTCTAACATTTCCAAGGATTGGTCACTGCTGCATGTTACTAGGCTGACCCACCAAGGCACCCTGCCACCTCAGGCAGAGGCACCCTCTGTCGCACAGCCTGAGGCCCTGGGGCCCCAGCCTTTGCCCGAGGCCATCCCTTTCCCAGGGTGTCTGAGCAGAAGAGAGAAGTCCCAGAGAATATGGAGGACGTGCTTACACACAGATACAGCAGGAGGAGAGGACAGGGCCGCAGAGCAGGAGCCAGAAGGGAGTACCCACCCAGACACTGCAAGTCCAGACACCCAGTAGGAGGGGCGCCCACTCAGATACCCTGAATCCTCCAGGGGAAAGGACACCCTCTCAGATGCCCTAAATACACAAGGGCAAGGGTGTCTCACCCAGACACCCCAAATGCAGAGGGGGATGGGCACCCACCCCGACATCCTAAATACCCTGGTGGGAAGGGTACCTAACTCAGAACCCCAAATCTCCAAGGGGGAGGTGCACCCCACCCAGGTACCCCAAGTCTCTCAGTGGGAGGGGCCACCCTACCCAGACACCCCAAGTACCCCAGGGAGACTGTGTACCCCAAATCTCCCAGGTTGCTGGGGCACCCCTAACCCACTCGGACACCTTAAGGATAAAGGCTGGAGACAAGGAATCAGCTGGCAGCAAGGCCCAGTCAGGAGCCAGCCAGTTATCACAACTGGCACAAAAGGAAACAGAACAGTCCCACGTCTGCACAGCAAGCCCTTTCTTCACGTCCAGTTGCACGCTCCATATCAGAGCCAGAGCTGTGCAGCCCTGAGCACAGGGCAGAGGGAGGAGGAAGGAGGTGTACTAGCGGGAAACACAGAGGTTAGATGGGGCTGCTCAGTGGTGAGGAGCCTGCAGGCCGAGATGTGCGACCAAAGAGTTGAGGCCAGAGGACACCTTTGCTGGACAGGGAACAGGGTAAATGCTCCTGGAAACCTGTGGCTATCGCCCCCTGTGGGCTAAGTGGGGACTGCAGGACCTAGTGTGGCAGGAATTGGGCAAACGCCCCCACTGGAATGAACAGGTTAATGAAAGTCACCTTTGTGGCTGGGGCAGTGCTCATGACTGGCTGTCACCTGGACTGGCAGGAAAGTGGTGGCAGAGTGAAAAGGATGGCGCTTGACACAGCATTTTCCTTCTTTTAATGCAGTTTGACTAATTCAACTTTCTCACTTCAGGAAAGGCCATGATCTATGAAAACCAGGGGCTGCCTGTGAGGCACAGCAGACTCCATGAGACCCCAACCTCCTGCCTGGCAGGCAGGCGACAGCACCTCCCCTGGAGATACTCGTCATTGCTCCCTGTGAACATCTGTCTCTCAGTATCTCGTGTTAAAAAATAGATTGTGAGGCCGTGATGCCGGAGGGTAAAGTGAGAGGTTCCCACCGAGAGTTGAAAATAGGTGCTCTTTGCGCAGGGCCGATTCCAGTCTCAGTTTCATTACCTCCTCCTGCAGCTTCTTGGCCTTTGGGGAGAAGAGGAGGGGACGAAATGAGGCAGGCTGGACTCCAATGCCCCCTCTCTTGTGCCATCAGACGCCTGGGGTAAGAACTCGGGGTTCCCAGGGTGAGTGGTGAGGTGCCCAGGGCACTTATTTGACTTCATCTATAGATTGTTTACCATTTTTGTCATATGTTTAGTTTTTCGGGTTTTCTTTTCTTTTTTTTTTTTTGGCGGTACAAGGGTTTGAACTCAGGGCCTAATGCTTGCTAGGCAGGCACTCTTCCATTTGAGCCACTCCACTAGCCCTTGTCATACTTTTAATTTACTGCCAAAGAGTTCTTTTTGGGCTGAGTGTTTCATGGCAGCAGTACTTCTCATCATTGCCAGAGAGCTTCAATGCTAGCTTGCTGTTTTGACTTTGGTCTTTATAATCCCAAGCTCACATCCTGGCTGGCTTGCTGAGGCCTCTCCTACACTCTGGGGCTTTGCCCAAAGGCAGAGTGCTCTCTGGTCCCCCATTCATCAGGACAATGTCCAAGACCACAGAAGAAACTGTGGATGTCATGGTGGGCCCTCCAGTAGTCACTCAGCACAAGACCTTTTTCTGGGAACACCATGTGGCCTGCGAGAGCCAGCCGAGGCTGGAGAGGCTGTGCTGACCCCTACTGGGTCCTGAACATGCCAGGCGTACACATACAGGAAGGCAGCACATGACCACTACCCTCACACCTGTGGTGTCTGGTCACTGGAATTCCCTAGAGATGACAGGTGCTGCAGCCTGCGGGACTGACCAGGGACCTAACCCAATCTGGTGCAGACTGGGCTTTCAACCCACTGCTAGCTTTGCATTCCTGGGCTTCGGCTTGTGTGGGATAAATCACTTCTCAGCCGGCCTGAATGTTACACCTCAAGGCTGTCTCCTTGCAAAACTATGCTGGTCTCAGTATTAGCAGACAGGCTCAATTACTATGCTGAGGGCCAGAGGACAGCGGTTGTCCACTCCAGGTGGAGTGGTTTCTCTGGGAGGAGAGCGCTTAGTGTTGGAGACTTAGACTCCCACAGACTGTCACTCTCCATCCTACATCTGCGGCTTTCACCTCAAGGTCTGAGCTGGTGCCCCAGCTCCTACCATCATGTTTGCATCCCAGCCAGGAGGGAGAGAAGACAAGCCTCAAGGAATTTGAACACATCTTCTGTTCTCATCCTGTTGATCAGAATATGGTCACCTGCCCTTGCAAAGGAGGCTGGAAAGGGTGCCATTTTCAGGCTGTCCTGTGCTGTCTATGAGGAAAGACCACAGGAAAGCTGGCCCTCTTACAGCAGCCATACCCTGCAGTTTCTGCACCCCAGGAGTCATGCTATTTTTGCTCCCTTTATGGTCAGTCTGGTGGTGTGAAGGCTAATGGAGATGCACAATGGGCTGTGCTGACCTTGGAGGGTCAACCTGTTGGCTGGTTTGTGCACAACAGAGATGGAGCTGCAGATGGGCTGTGGGGCCACAGCCCAGGGACATCCTTCCTGGGACAGTGCTGCTTACCAGGGATCAGTGTCAGGAACCACGACCCCCACTGGCCGCATCAGGGCAGGCAGGCTGGTGTGGAAGAGCCCACCAGCAGGGCCCTGGGTGCCCTGGGAGGACAGGTGAGGACTCTGTGGCTGTGAGAAGGGTAGGACACAGGCATCCGGGTGTCACTATCCGGAGGCCTCTGCTTCCTTTGACTGCTGTCCAGGCAGGAAGGACCGCCTTCCTCACCCCGCTTAAAGTATGTCCAGGCATGCGGCAGGTGCTGACCACCATCAGCCGCTGTGGGGCAGATGGTCAGGACGTGCACAGCGGGGAGGGGTTTGGGAGCAGCTGTGTCGGGCACCCTGGTATAGAGGGGTTGGATCCTGGGTGTTCCAACCTCACTATCACAGAGATGACAGCATGCTGCCAGGGTCCAGCAGCTGTGGCCAAGCCCCCCACCGAGCAGTACCGTCACGGCTAGCCCTGGGCTCGGTCTGGTCTGCTGGCAGCAATGCCTCAAGCAGGGACCATGCAGGCTCTCAGAGCGGACCTGTCCTATCCACTCTGTCCCCAGAGGCTACAGGCTGCAATGCCAGTCCCATCAGTCCCAGGGCACCTGAAGGCCCACAGTACAGGCGGAACATTTCTTGTTATCTGACCAAGAGTGAATCTGGAGCGTCAGTGAACCCCACCACCGAGTGTCAGAGGGCACATGCCCTGCAGAGGCACAGCGCATCCCCGTCCACTTCGTTGGAACAAGAAATGCTCACCGTCTGAAGGTCCTGGGCGGCCGTCCTCACTTCCTGAAGCGGGTCTGCTCCTTGGAAGCGCCTGCGGGCATGCAGCTGCCGTACGTGCTTCCGTATCTTCTCCTCCAGATCCGCCAACCGGGAGGCGCTGGGAACACAGGGACATCTGGCCGCTTGGGCATGGGAATCTCGCCTAGTAGTCCCTATACCAACCTTCTTTCTGCAGACTGTGCACCGCTTGAGGCTCCATGGGGCCAGATGTGGCTCCCGGGCTGTCCTCGCCCTTCTACTCCCAATGCTGAGCCTGGGCCTGGCATTCTTCTACCCCTTCCTAGGTGGCCCTAAAGCTCTGCACCGAAAGCCCTAAATCCATCTGTCGTAGTGCAGTTAGGAGGCTGCACCCAAGACAGACAGAGGGCAGCACCCTTTGTTTCAATGTGGAAAACTCAGGTGTACTGCGTCTTGAAGCAGAGTAACAAAAAACCCTCTAAGGTGGGATTTTAAGCATAATTCTGTCAGCCCTAGGGCTCAGGGCTTGCCACTGCTATTCTTTTGAATGTAAATACAATGACTTAGAATGGCAGAGAAGCCAGAGGGTCTTGCTAAGTGTGAGCTCCTCTTTCCGTTCCACTGAGTCAGTCCTTGGCCGCTTGTTCTGAGGCCCTATGACCTGTGCTGTCTCCGAGAGGTGCTCCCATTCTCCCCCATGTGTTGGCCCCTGGCTGCCACATTGCTTCCCAAATGTTCCTCCTGCTCTCCTGAGCTCCATGTGGATCCAGCTGGCCTCTCAGGACAAAAGCCCCACTTAGCAGCCTGGCCAACACCTGGCCAGAGACTCCAATCCTAGGTGCCTCAATGCCTGCAGACAGGCTTCCCAGTGCGACCTCTTGCCTCTCTTCCATCAGTCTGTCTTGCAGTTGGGGGTCATGTGGCCTTGGAAGCTTCACTAGCTCCCCATCACAAGAAGGCTGGACACACAGCCCTGAGTCAGATCTAAGAATGTCAGGACTAAGGAGTGAGACTAGAACTCAGGGCACAGAGATCTGGAGGACAGGGCCACAGCCCCCACAGCAGCCTCCCTGCAGGGGGTCCGGGGAACTTTCTAGGTCCTGGTGATCATCTGGCAGTGGTGGACCTTAGGTGGGGACCATGTCTCTCAGGCTTACCCTTCCACCTCCACAGCCCTGTACAAGGTGCTCAGTGCATGCAACAAATGCACCGGCCAATGAGTGACACTGTCATGCGGAACCCTGCCCCACTGTGTGATCACCAACCTTAAGTCTGAGCTGGCTTTTGATATTCTCTCTTTGCTGTGTTTCGTTTTCCCAAATGGATTTGCTGGAATTTTCCCATGATCTATCAGATCTGTGGCGAATGGAATCTTTGACGCCACCTAGGAAAATGCAGCAAGATGTCTTCAGGAATCCAAGAGGCTGCTTTTAACTTGCGCTCACCTCTAGGCACATCAGCATCTTTAGGCCAACCAATTGCCATCCAGAGGGGGACATTCTTTACACTGGGTCACCATCTGGGTCTTGGGTAATGGTCATTCCCACCTCTGACTCAGTTTGGACATCTCTCAGAGGTGTCTGAACAGCCCAGGTTGGGGTGGCTGAAGGTGCAGAGGGAGGGAGCTGACACCCTGAAATTCTGTCTTAGGACAGACATAAAGGACACAGTTGAAAATGGGCCCCAAGTCTTTCATACAAGTGTGACCACATTTTTAAATCATAAAGTTTCAAGCTAATACATAAATGCTATACAAACAAGTTAGAGTGAAAGGACAGCCTTGGACTTGAGAGCCTGAATAGTGAAACTCACTGGCCTTGGACCCGCATCACCAGACCCTAGACATGTACCATTGTGGCTTACCCTGGCTGAGACCACTGCAGCCTGAGGGAAGACAGGCAATGTCCACTGTGCCTGTGGATACGGCCAGCCCACCCTGTCAGGTGAGCAGCTGGACTCTGTTCTCATATTCTGGAGCTGGGGCCAACGAAGGCCATGTGGGTCCAAGCACTGCCGTGGACCACTGTGGTTCCAAGTGTCCTTCTAGGACATTCCTGGAAGGGATCCATCCTGCCAAGGGGAAATGAGCCCTGCCCATTTCTGATTTCAGTGGGTGTGGGAGGCAGTCAGGTAGGCAGAGCACGCATGGTGAGTGGGGCCCAACCCAGGAGGAGTCACCAAGAGAACCTCTGCCAGGATGAACAGATCACGTGCGTTCATTGGAACAAGCAGGCACAGCACTGCAGGAAAGTGTAGACAGCGGTGCAATGTGGCACGCTCCTCACTTCCCACAGCCTGACGTCACCCACATTTCTGGGCACCTGGGACATGCACACATGCGTCCGTTTGACTTCCTCACCCACCTGTGGTCAGTGCAGAAATGCCAGTCTCCCTGCCTGCCTCCCCCCATTCTTCCTTGCCTCCTGTGTCATGTCCAGCAGATGGCAGGACTCATGGCTCCTGACATCTCATGACCACTGCTGCCTCTGGAGCCTCTCCACTCCCATTGACAGATGCACCACTCCAAACTAGATTTCCCCAAACTCTCTTCCAGCTATAACCTGTGCTGGCAGAGCTCCATCCTGCTCTGAACCACCTCCCCACTTCTCCCAACCCTCTTTCGCTGGGCTTGCCCAGGTCTGCTTGGTCTGCTCCTTCTGAACATGTGCTGACCAGTTCCCCGTGTCCCCCCTCCCACACCCTCTGCAGCAGCTAGCTTCCTGCAGGGGTTATCACTGGGGTTATTAGACAGCATTACACAGGGGTCCTGACCTGTTTCTGCAGCTTCAGCACCAGAGGTGGGGAGGACTTGGGGCCTTTATACTCGGGTCGGAGTGCAACCTGGACCCGAGGTGCAGGGCAAGGGCACCACAGGCAACATGACCAATGCTGCTCACTGCTGACTCCAGCCTGACCCCCACAATGGGAGCTTTTGGTCTGCATGTGCACATGAAGGAGTGCATGCCTGTATGCGTGTGTGTGCATGGGAACGCGTGGGTACCTATTGTCAGGGGCACTGTCAAGACTCAAAGGATGTCTGAAACAGAGTATGTATTAGGTGCAGAACGGGATTCTGGAAGGATCCCTCCAGAGTCTGGAAGGCTTGGCCTAGGGCTCTACTGGGCTCTGTTCAATCTGCACCCTCTCCTCTAAGTGGTTAAACAGTGTTGGAACCTTGTTTATCCACATTTTGGGTTTAACCCTGACCTAATAACCAGGCGGGGGAGGAGGGGGAGAGGAGCCACCACGCCCTTTTCCTATAACCACCCTCACCCTGGAAGTACACCAGGCTGGGCCAAGACAGAATTAAATGTGTTGTCTAAGAGCTGGCACACCTTCAGTGAGTCAGGACTCAGCAGAGATTATTCCAACAGAAAAAATGCACAGGGTTAAATCCAGGAGTTGTGTCCTTTTAAAGTCAGACATTTAAACGTCTTAAATATTAAAAGCATATATTTGAAAAGAAGCCAACTAAGACATATTTTACTGTTACTACAAGGTACAGAGAAGAAAGACTATCCAAATATCGGATTCTCTGAAGAGAACATAAAGAATCAATGCAAGGGCCTGAAACACGGGAAAATGGGGTGCAGAGGCGTGTCAGTGGCTGTGAGGGGCTCCACTCCCAGCTTCACATGGGAGTGTCATGCATGAAATTCAGTGAGGGCCCAGAACATGGACTCAAAGGTCAGTGGCAAAGCTGCTGGTTTCAGAGCCATGTGGAAAACAAAAACGTACGGCTTTTCAGAGAGGATGATGGATCCAGAGGCTCCCACCCAGTGTCCGCAGCAGAAGTCTTTTTCAGCAGCCAGAGCATCGTAGATCCCACCCCACCCCACCCCACCCCATGCACACAGGGAGCGACCTGCACACTACAGATCAGCTGAGGCACATGCAGGGCAGCTGGGCACACCTCAGAGCCAAGCCACAAAGCCAGTAAGCCCTGTGCCACACCCAGCCCCATGTTTGTAGGACCCACCTGCTCACACACAGGGCCATGCACAGGGCCCTGGCGCCCTCTTGTGTCTGCCTGCCCAACTGCAGGTGCTGGCATAGGCTGGAAGCTCTTCCCCTCAGCCAGCAGCAGGACAGGCACATCTTGGGCCTGTGATGAGTCTACTATGGACCTACAAATCCTGGGTTCTATTCCTAACTCTTGCCTCTGCAAACAAATTCGTTCACAATTGCTTATGATATGATGGATTTCAGCTCGGTGAGATGGATTCCCCAAAGTGCTCAAAGAACACATGTTCTTAACACAACACAAGAAGACTTGCCAGGAAACTGCTGGGTCCACAGCTGCTACGCAAAGCTCCCATCCTTGCTCCCTTCTGCTGCCCTCACGGGGGACGGCTTGCCCTGTGCACTGTACCCACGCCTGAGCAGAGACAGTATCTCTGCACTTGTGGCCACCTGGATTTCCTCCTGCAAGCAGCCATACCCTCTACCCATTTTTCTGTTAGAGTCTTAGATTTTTAAATATCAATTTGTAGTAATTTTTATATATTAGATATCAACATCTTGTAGTCATTCTTACAAATTAGCTATCAATACCTTGTCACAAATATTTCCCCTAACTGAATTTTGGTTATGGTATTTAGAGCCATACAAAATGTTTTGCGGGTACTGGGGTGGGCACAGGCTTGGGAGGGGTGCGTTCCCACAGGCTGAGGCCTCTGTTCAGGATCTATGGGAATGGCAGCAACTGATGGCATCTGCTCTGGGCCCCAGCTGCTTCCCTCCAGCACGCGACACCTCTTGCCTTCCATCCCCATCACTGCTGCAGTGGCTCCCAAAAGGGGTCTAATGGAGCAGGTCCATCTTGTGTGTAGATGGGTCTCCATCTGAAGAAGCTGCATGGTCGATGTGTGCAGACACAGAAGCACACCCAAAACCAAGTCCTCTCATCAACCCACTGCCCTGACCAGCTACACTCCTCTCCCTAGGCCCTTTAGCAGTCTGGGTATATTTTTTGGTGGGTTATATTCTTTGGGGGGGTATATTCTTTTGGGGGTTATATACTTTTGGTGGGCTATTTTGGGGAGACTATATTTTGGGGGGGCCATATTTTTAGGTCATGTTCTTTTGAGGGTTATATTCTTTTGGGGGTTATATTGCTTTGGGGGTATATATCTATGATAAAGCGATGTTACAGTTTCTGTGCAAGCCCTGCAACTTGTGCTATTTTAACTCATGTCATTTCTTCAGACATCTTCAAGTCAGTAGATGTGAGCCCTCTTTCAGCCTTTCTAACAGGTGCCTCAGAGTTTGGATACAACCATTTATTTAGCCATTTCCATTTACTGACATTTAAATTATTTTCATTTTTTGCTACAATCAGGTTCTGAAAGCATTCTTAAGAATATCTAAGGCTGGGTGCAGTGGCTCACACCTGTAATCCTAGCTCCTTGGGAGGCAAAGATCAGAAGGATCGAGGTTCAAGACCAGCCCAAAGAGTTCCTGAGATCCCATCTCAGCCAATGGCTGTGCACAGTGCAGAGCACCTGACATATCCAGCTTCGGGGAAGCACAGTAGGAGAATCGCAGTCCAGGCTGACCTGGGCATAAAACAAGACCCTATCTCAAAAACAAGCTATGCAAACAAGGACCAGTGGAGTGGCTCAAGGGGAAGAGCATCTGCCTAGCAAGCATGAGGTCCTGTATTCAATCTGTAGCACTGCCAAAAAAAAAATTACCTAATTTTGTACATGTCCTGGAAGCAATGTAACGTATTTCAAAATTATTACAGAGGTAGTGAAAACTAGGAAAAAGGTGATAGCAAAAATGAAACACTGGCATGGTTTAACATACAATGTTAAGCAAATAAAGAACATAAAATTCTACCTATACATTATTAACACATAGAAAACAGCATGCATGCTGAACAGGGACAAAAGGCCACCTGCACAGGCACTGAGTGACAGAGGATGAGCTCACCACATGTGTTTCGAAAGCTGCAACAACGGAGGAGCAGAAGCTCACAGGTGACACTGTGTCAGAGTCTAGGATGTCTTTAAGGAACAAGCTATTCTAATTCTACCCCTAAGAAAGACCTCGTTGGTAAGAAGCAGGTGTCATGAATTGACAGGTCCTATTTGGGAGAGAGGGGTCCATGTCATCTTGAGCCATAACCCCAGGGGGTGGTAGCCCCTTCACTCAAAGACCATGAGCAGGCCAGGCCTTGAGTGTGGCAAAGCCATCAAGGTGTCTCCTGGCCACGTGCAGGGGACCCAGCCATCAGGCAAACCCCAGGGACCCGAATAGCACCAGAACCTGAATAAACCCACTTTGTAAATTTTGTCATTCTACTGGCACATTTCAGGAGGGTAAAAGGCTCTACCATTTGGTTCTTATGTTAACAAACCATTGTTTTGTTTGGAGGGA